CGAGCAGACACGGGGAGGGGAAGAGGCTGGCAGTGCGTGCCCCTGGCAGGGAGGCACACGGGCTTCCACCAGCAATCCCGGCCGTCCTTCCCCTGGCGCCGCTGGGTCCCGGGGTCACCCCACTCCCCTTCTTTCAGCCCTGGCGGCTTGAAGGAGGTCGTGTGGGAGACAGGGAGGGAGTCTGGCTAGGCGGAGGGGTTGTCTGGGCCACAGTTCCGTGGGGGACCTGGACCCCAGGACTCGGGCAGATCACCCCTCGTCTGGCAAGACTGACCCAGACTCCCGATGGCCCCCCACCTCCTGGATGTGGTCTCATCTGGGCCCGAACGCCTTTCCTGGGCGCACACGCTCTGAAAGGCTCCGTCCGGCCTGGTGACCTGGGGTGTACCGTGTGCCTTTAGGCCCGAGAGGCTCACAGAGCGGGAAGGGCTTTAGGAACATCCTCCCCCGCCCATTTTATGAACGAGGAAGCCGAGGCCAGGAAAGGGAGACACTTGCCCCTTTCCTCACGCAGCCGGGTAGTTAGGGAGCCGACTACCAAGCCTGGGCCCTCAGATTTCTTGTTGGTGCTCCCCCTGCTGCCCCACGCTGACGGGGAGGCCTGGCCAGGCCCCGAGGTCCGAACTGGGTGCCCCTGACGTCTGGGGGCCGGGCAGGACCTGTGGCTGAGGCTGGTGTCTCCCCTGGGCCTCCGTAGACAGCGGCTCCAGGACGAGATGGCGGCCAAGCAGCCCCCGCCTCTCATGAAGAAGCACAGCCAGACGGACCTCGTGAGCCGCCTGAAGACCCGCAAGATCCTCGGCGTGGGCGGGGAGGACGACGACGGGGAGGTGCACCGCTCCAAGGTGGGCCGGGGTGGGGGGGCCTTCGGCTGGCCACACCCGGGGGCCCACCTCAACACCCCTTTGGGGAGGCGGGTCCGGCCTGCCATCTGGGAGAAGAGTAGCTGTGGCTACCCCAGGACTTAGCTCATTTTCTCTAGGAACGTAACGGAGATGTCCGGGGAATCGTAACAAAAATGAAGACAGATCGCTAGAATGAATTTCGCACTTATTATGTGCCAGCTACTGCACCGATCGCTTTATAAGCATTATTTAATCTCACTAAAGGGCTGGGGGATGGTTATTAATCCATTTGATAGAGGAGGAAATTGAGGCCCAGAGAGGGCCAGGACTTGCCCAAGGCCATTACCAGTAAGTGGCAGAGCCAAGCTTCAAGCCCGTGTCTAGCGGACCGCTGAGCTTTTGTTCTCACCCACCGTATTTTCAGCTTCCTGTGTAAGCCCCGGTGTCAAGGAGAGGCAGAGGGGGGGTGGCTTCAGTGTGACCTTCCCAGCCTGGGTGACCTTCTGGCTGAGCAGAAGTACCCCGGTGGGTGCCCGGACACGCCAGGGGGCTCCGGGAGGGGAGTGAGTGGGCTGGGCATGGCCCTGACCCCTGTTTGTCCACAGATCAGCCAGGTCTTGGGCAATGAAATCAAGTTTGCTGTTCGGGAGCCTCTGGGGCTGAGGTGAGCACTTGAGCGTGAGCTTGGGCCGGGGGCAGGGTTATGGGGAAGGGCCGTGCAAGACCCTGCCGCATCAGCTCTGCCCCGGTGCCCTCGTGCCTGTGGTTCCATCCCGTCTCGTTCCCTCCCCCTAACGCCAGCCATCCCTGGACATCTTGGCTGGAGAGGGGAGGGTCCCCTGGGGCCTGGGCGCAGCAGCAAGGGGCCTGGCTGTGACCTGTCTCTCCCCGTCTCTGCCAGGGTCTGGCAGTTTGCTTCTGCTGTGCTCTTCTCCGGCATCGCCATCATGGTGAGCCCCACCCCCCCGCCCCCGGCCCTGGGTCCGGCTCCCTGTGTCCTGCCTCTGAACCTCTGCTGGGGGTTCCTCCTCTACCCTGGGGGCCCTGCTGCCTCTACCCACATGGTCATCATGCTGAAGGCCCTCTAGCTCCCTCCACAGTCCCAGCTCCCGACACTCATTCCCACCTGTACCCGCCTGTTCTGGCACATCCTAGATCCCGTGGTCCACATTCCTGACTCGTTGCCCCTAGAAACCCAGAGCCTTCTGTCCTGACACGGAAGGCTTGGGGCCAATCAAGGTTCTGACAGTGGACTGCCCCAGGGATCTCAGCCCTGCTTCTGGGGGGAAGGAGGGACATGTCCAGAGGATGTTTCAACAGCGACCCCCACCAACTTTGCCCATGAACTTCCCACCAATGTCCACAGGCCCTCGCCTTCCCTGACCAGCTCTATGATGCGGTCTTTGATGGAGCCCAGGTGACCAGCAAGACCCCCATCCGCCTCTATGGCGGTGCCCTCCTCAGTGAGTATTGCTAGGGCAGACTCCGAGGGATGTGATGGGCAGCCGGGGACCAACGGGGACTGAGAGGAGCACGGGGAAGCCTTTCTTTGTGCGTGGGCTCCCCCTCTAAGCACCTGCTGTCCCTCCCTTCAGCTGAGTCTGTCTCTGCTGGGTGTGTGCCGCCATCTCGTGGCCACTGCTGGAATGCACCCGGTGGACACGGGCAAACACCGAATACTTACTGTGTGTAGCTCCCCACCTGGTCATCCAGGTACAGAGGTGAATGAGGCTCGGGCCCTGCCCTCCAGGACCTCACGGCCTAGCGCGGGAGACCAAATCCACACGGGTCTGCAAAACCCCTCCCACCCTCGGGCCTCTCCTTAGAACCATTCTGTTTCCGAATTTGTCACACCCCGTGCCTGGCCGGAAGCTGAGTTAACAGCCTTTAAAGCCTAGCACAGGAGCGTCCCTCCTCTTCTCTAAAACATCCCGCGGTCCCTTTTACCTGCAGAATAGAGGCCCAGCCCCTCCACCTGGCATTCGGGGTGGTCCGCGGGGTGGATCCAGCCTACCTTCCCAGACCCGCCTCCCCCATATCCCACCGTGGGCCCTGGGCTCCGGCCGCATCTCGCGATGCCCAGTCCCCCGTTTCAGAAAGCCTCCGTGCCTTTGCACATGCAGTTTCCCCCAACCTTGTGCTGATTGCACTTGTAGTCATCCTTCAAGGGTCTGCACCAGTGCCAGGGGGCAGGGGCAGGGGCTGGTGGAGATCGGGGTGGCTTCAAGGACATCACCCATGCAGTGGGAGAGCTAGGGTTATGGGGTTCGGTGGGATGGCGGATGGCTTTAATTTGGGGAGTGTGAATGGGGGTGGGGAAAGTGGAAGTCTGGGTTCCTGGCAAGTCTGCCCAATGGAGGAGGAACGGGCCCCTGCCCCAAGGGGCTAGGGCTCAAGACGCCTTCCCCAGTCTGCTCTTTGTCCCCCATGCCCCAGGCATCTCCCTGATCATGTGGAATGCTCTCTACACGGCTGAGAAAGTGATCATCCGATGGACTCTGCTCACCGAAGCCTGTTACTTTGGGGTCCAGTTCTTGGGTGAGTCTGGAGGTGGGCAGTGAGACAGGGAGGCTGACGGGGTGGGAGGTGTGGGCAGGGTGGCGTGGCCCCTGGCTTTCCAGCTCTTGCTGCCTGGTTTCCAGGAAGTGACAAAATCCATCCGAGGGGGAGGGGCTCACGTGGCCGTGTCTACCTGTGTGTGCCCCTGTGCTCACCTACCCACACACACCTGTACCTTCTTGAATACACACACACACACACACACACACACAGAGCCACAGCCTCCCCCGTGTACGTGCACCTGCCGCCTCCCATAACCCATCGCTCACTTGTGTACCCAGAGCAGGTGTGATGGCATGCTCGCCCTTGCCCCAGTACCTGCCACGTGGGGGACATCACAACAGACATGTCCGTGAGGGCCGGCAGCTGGCAGGACCCCCCCAGCTCAGCATGCCATCTTTTTCCTTTTTTAAGTTTATGTATTTATTCTGAGAGCGAGCGTGGGAGGGGGAGAGAGAGAGAGAGAGAGAGAGAGAATCCCAAGCAGGCTCTGCACCGGCAGCACAGAGCCCAGTTCGGGGATCGAACTCACGAACGGTGAGATCACGACCTGAGCCGAAACCAAGGGTTGGCCACTTGACTGAGCCGCCTGGGCGCCCGTCAGTATGTCGCCCCGGGTTGAGGGTGAGGCACACCCCTCCGCTGACGTCTGTCCCTTCCCGGTCTTTCTCCCACAGTGATCAGTGCCACGCTCGCAGAGACCGGCCTCGCGTCCCTGGGGATCCTGCTGCTCTTGGCCAGCCGCCTCCTTTTTGTCGTCATCAGCATTTACTACTATTACCAAGTGGGCCGAAAACCCAAGAAAGTCTAGCCACTCGCTGGGCCAGGGGCCCCTGTGTGGCGGGGAGGCCCCGGGGCCTCAGTTTCCCTCTGGCTGCTGGAAGGCAGGAAGGAGCCTGCCCTGTGCCGGGCCTGCCCCCAGGCAGGCGGGGCTGACCGCCTTCCTTTCCTCCCGGGCACCCCCAAATGCTGTGATCTCCTGGGCTTTCAGGTTTGGGGAGGGACGGGGCCTCTTGAACCTCTGGCCCTCGCCCCACACAGGAACGCCTCCTTTTCGTGGGTCTCTTGGCCTCCGGATCCCCTGGACAGACACTCACTGGAGAGCTTGAGTCGTGGGGTTTTGGCCTGAGATGGGGCTCTCGCCCCTTCTGCCGGGAGGCCCTTCTCTGGTTTGAGACAGGCTGAGCACTGTCCCCCGGTCCTCCCTACACCCCCGGCCACTCTAGTGCCCGTGTGACTGACCTTGGCTTCCGTGTATGCCTGGAAAAATCCAAGAATTTGACCCCGTGCCCCTATCCCTCCCCACCCATGGGAGCTGCCCCTGCCCCCTAACCGCACACGCCTGCCCTTCCCACAGCCCAGCTACGGGCGGACCGGCAGGGGTGGTGGTCTCTGAGCCGGTGCCTCCCTTCAGCCTCCCTCTGCAGTGGGCCACCTGTCGCCAGAGCCCGGTCCCCAGCCCCAAGCCCGGCCACCGCAGGCTCTCCTAGGGCCTTACTCTAGGCTGCCGTGCCTCCACCCGGCTCCCGGACGCCCCTAGGAGTCCCCTTCCCCCAACTGGCCTGGGTCCAGCCTCACCCCCAGGCCGGCCCCGACAGTGGACGCAGAGAGAGGTGGAACCCCCGTGATGGGGTTTGGAGGTGAAGAAGAGAGAGACGCAGTGGCGTTTCCTCATCCCTTCGGTCTGCCCAGTTCAGTCCCCTCGCGCACCCTCGCCTTCTCCCCGGGGTGCTGCCCCCAAGACCCAGCGGGGTAGGACTGGGTGCCCTTCAAACTCAGCAGGGGAAATAAATAGAAATATTTCAGCAGGCCACTCCTCTAATGTCGTCCCCACCCCAAGTGCCCTGGAGGAGGCTAACACGCGGTTCCCTCAGAGCTGAGGACACCCTCCCTGCCCCTGCTCGTGTGCCCCCCTTTGGCCCTCACTCCCAGTGCTCTCCTTCCCTGTAGGCCGCAAATGTGCACAGAAGTGGTGGCCCTCACGGTCTGGGGACAGGGGTAGAGAAAGGCAGCCCAGGCCCCAGACACGTTTCTCGTCTTGGGATAGTGTTGGGTAGGACGGGGGGGCGGGCAGGTGCAGCCCAGCTCTGGCTGCTTCCAAGTGAACCTCTGCCTGGGCCCCCTGCCCTGCCCACACCGGGCCCGGCTGTCCCCGAAGCCCAGCTGTAACTACTGTTCCACGCGGAGGGGAGGGGCCTGACGGGTTGGACGCCCACCGCCACCTTGGGGAGTCAGGTGGATGGCCAGTGGGCAGTGCCCTCAGTGCCCTGGGGCCCTGTCGCGTCCTGTATCTAACCCAGGCCTTTTAAGGCTGGGCTGATCCTCTGGAGGGTGATGGGTGGTTTGTCCTAGTCACCGGTGGGTGTGGTGGATCAGTGCTCCTCCCCCCACCCAGGGGCACAGGGGAATAGAAAGCATGGGCTTTGCAGCCTGGGTGAGGCACCTGCCGGGCTGGCCAAGCTGCCTCAGCCTCAGCCGGGGTGGGGGTGGGGCGAGCCGGAGGGCGGCCTGGCCTTGTCCCTTGGGTGGTAATGAGGGCCTGCTGGGATGGTGCTGTCGTGAAATTCTGTGCTGCTTGGACATCGGAGCTGGGCCCAGAGGGACCTAGCAGAGCCCGGCAGACCTGGTCCGGGGATGTGGCAGGGGATTAAGGCAAGGAGCCACCGCTGGGAGGGAGGCAGTGACAAACAGGGAGGGGGACCCACACATCTCCTGAAGAAGGCCCAGTGTCGGCCCGGCTCCCCATCCTAAAGGTTTGGGAAGACACCCCCCGCCCCCGCTCCACCCACCACCCTTTACCTTTGCCCCTGGAGCCCCGCGCCCTCCGTGCCTCAGCTCCCCCCTTCTGCCCCACCCCCACCCAAGCAAGACCACCTTCTTCACAGCCACTATTTATTCTTCGTTCCTTTTTCTTTTTGTAAGAAACAGTCACAAAAACCAGTGCAAAACCATCAGTGTGGGCGTCCTGTTTTATATTACAAAAACTCCTCTTGATATAGAATATAAAAGGGGGGGTTCACAGGAAATAAACATGATAAATTAGCTCTGCTATCTACTGGAAGGAACATTTACAGGTTTCAAAATAGACTTTCGACACGGGACCCATGGGGAAAGGGAAGAGGGGGCTTCTGGGAGATGGGGGTGCCGGGGCCTCAGCTGGTTCAGGGTATCCTGGCCGGGTCCCTTAGGTATGGAAAGGAGGGACAAGAGCTTCGTAACCCCTCAGATGGGCTCCCTTTTCTAAGAGGTGGCAGCTTCGGAGCCGGAAGGTGGCTTTCAGTCTGGGGTTGTGTGACCAACAGGGTAGGGTTTATCAGCCGTACGTGGACCAGCCCAGTTAGACCTCAGTGCCTGGGAAAGGCTCGGTCGAGCCAGACTGGCACGGACCTTGCCTTTTCATGCTTCAGAATGGCTGCAGGCAGCCTTGCAAATAACGACCAGCCTGGGTCAATGCTACGGACTGCCTGCTTTGTCTTTCTGGCCCCAGTGTGGGCAGTAGACAGATAAGGGGCTCCTTGGCCCCCTTCTGGAAAGCCGTTAGGGATGAGTCTCATATCCGCCCTTGAACCTGCCTCAGCCAGATGTTCCTCCAGGACCCACCCTTCCTCCCCCTGAGGGGATGGACTGGACAGGAGGAGGGGGGTGAGTGCCAGATAGATGCCAGGCCCTCCTTACCTTGAAGGCCCCGGATTCTCCTGGGTGCTGCGGACCAGATGGGGCCCGGAAGTCTGGGATGCCCCTGGCCTAGAGCCGCACAGTTGCCCAGTCAGACCCCGAGTCCCGCCCAGCCAGCTCTTTTTGTCAACCTTAGACAGGCCATTTGCCTCTGCTGGAGCCAAGCACGTGGGTGGGCGGGGCTGGAGAGGGGCATGCCCAAGGCCCCCCTCGGGCTGGGCTGGGGTTCCAGCTGCAGGGTCCCGGGGACGCCCATCGCTAGGGAGCCCACGGCATCATGTGTGGAATTGCCAGGACAGGCTGCTACAGGGACTCTATGGCAAGCCCCAGCTCGGAGACCACGAGGGGGACCTGGGACTAGAGGGGACAGCAGGAGGATGGGAGGGGGAAGGGGAGAGACAAGAGGAGGATCAAAGCCAATCTTTACAGCAGGCACAGAACTGGGGCTGCATCTCTGAAGGGGGCAGGTGGCAGAGCAGAGAAGCACAGGGCTCCAGGCCACAGCTGTCTCTCTCCCACTGGCTGGAAAGCTGGAAGGGAGGCTGGAAGCTGACGCAGGGCCTGGGAGTCAGAACAGGCCCTTCCCAGACCCTGAAGAGGGACGTGGAGAGGAGGTCAGGCGCCACGCCGCCCCTCCCCTTGCCAAGCCCGCGGCAGACATCACCAATCAAGCGTAAGTTGTCGGGCAGACACCAACTAGGATTACGCCGTCCTTTCCCTCGGACCCCAGGCCAAACCCCAGATCCTCTGACCAGCCTCCGGCGGTCACTCCTGATTCACTGGGGTCGAGGGATCTTGTAATACGGTCGCCGACAGCGGTCTAGGATGTAAGGCCTGTATGCGAGGAACTGATCGGTGGGCGCCTGTGTAGGCGTGAGTGAGTCTAGGGGACAACCTCTCCCTGCCCAAGCCTGGAAGAAACACACAGAAATGTGCTACGGACAGTGAAGGGACAGGAAAGCATGTCACAGCTGGAACGAGATGCCTTGGAGCTCTGTAGCCTGCAGAAAACGCATCTGGGGGAAGACGATGTGTGGCCTTAACACTTTGGGAAGGAGAAAGAGAACGTGGGATGCCATGGATGCAGCCAAAGAGAAACAGAGAACCCTAATGTGCAGTGAGCTGATGCTAAAAAGGCAGAGCAGTCCAAAGGCAGAAGGCTGTCTTGGGAGGTAGTAAGCTCCCCGTCCTTGGAGGTATGCAAGAAGACGGTGGCAAAGTCTTGGCAGAGAGCTTGGGGAAGACGTCCAAGCCTCAGTTCTGGGTGGGGAGAGGAGAACCAGATGATCCTGGGGGTTCCTTCCAGCCGGGGAACCACAGAGTTGGTGAACAGGGAAGGGGTTAGGCTTGTGGGCAGAGGTGGGCAGTGTGGCAAAGGGACGGTAGTGTGTGTTTGTGTGTGTGTGTGTCCCTGCAGGCTTAGAAAGAAGTATGGGGGGTGGGGTGGGAGGAGAGCAGGGGCAATAGTCCGTAATTTTCTCAGCTGTGGGCCTGGGAAGTTCCTGACCAGTCTGCTCTCTCTGTCTCGGGAAACCAGGACGCTGAGACTGACAGAGCCCTGGAAGCGGCGAGAGGCAGCCTAGGGATGAGTGGGTTCCAGTTCACAATTGTCACGCACGTGCTGTGTGACTGTGAATGACAAACTGCCCCTCTCTGGGCTTTCCGGATTATTCGATCCAACAGATGGGGGAAGCGAGGACCCTGCCAGCTAGGCCATTTTCAGATCCAGCGTCTGTAGCCCACTCTTGGCCCCAGCCCGAGGCAGGGGCAACTCCATCCTCAGAAGACCAGGGCTTCAGTGTAGGTTCCAAGTCCTCGGGGACACGGTGCCCGAGTCTCCCAGGGGGCCCCTGGGCTTTGTCGATCTGAGAGTTGCTTCTGCCTCCTTGTTGCCTCGATCCTCCCGTTCTTGGCACCTGGAGCTGAGGAGAAGGCCCAGGCCCGGGGCTGCTAGGGGCTGGCGGGGCTGAGGAGGGAACCTGGGCTTGGGGTTCCTTTGGTCTCTAGTCCAGAGTGCTCCCTGGGTTCAAGCGCCGGGGCCCTCGCAGAGAGCCCGGAGTCCAGGCGGGGTACGTCAGTCCATTTTCTTGTCTTCATTTTGTTTTGTTAAAAAAATAGCTATTTTCCTCTGCCCCTTCCTCTGGCCACTCAGGATGGCTTCACCTCCTCCCCTGGGGGCAAGAGGGCAAGGACACCGGGGAGGGGAGGGTGTTGGGTGCCGGGCAGTGGTGGCGGGTGAGGCTTCAGGCTCCAGGTCACGCCCTCTACTGGATGCCCCGGAAGAGACACATGGCAAAGATCATGGCGAAAAGCTGCAGAGGAAGTCGAAGTTGGCTTGTCAGGCTGGCCTCCCAGCCCTGCGCTGGGCTGTCCCACCCCGACGGGAAGCAGCCATCGGCCGTGGGACAGGAAGGGGGCCCACCCATCACTCAGCACCCTCCCGCAGTAGGGGTTCCTGACACTCCTTGGGGGCAAGCCCTCTGCATGGTCCCCTTTGTGCAGTGTAGTCACGGAAAGAAGGGAGCTTTGGACATGGGTTCAAATCCAGCTCCCCTATTTGCCAGCAGCAACCTTGGGCCCAACATGTCCCTTCTCTGGCCTGAGCATGTACTGGAGCTTACCACGTGCCGGGCACATTTCCAAGTGCTTTCCCAAACACCTTTACAGAGCAGGAGGCAAGACACAGAGAAGTCATGCAACTCACCTAAGGTCACACAGCTGCAAGTGAGGGAGCTGGGGTTTGAGTCTAGGCATTCTGACCCCACAGCCTATGCTCCCAAGTCCCACACACTCCGCCTTCTAGCTCACAGGAGGGTGGTAAGATGAAATAGAAGGTGATCAATGACCCAACGAGGCCTATTCTCTAGTAGATGATTAGTAGAAAGTTACCAGGATCATTATTAATAGGCAAGGGCGATGTAGCCCTTCCCAGAATTGAGAGCACAGTCACGGAACACCTACCTAAGGGCCCTGGGGTGTTGGGGGCAGGTAGAGACCCAGATTCAGGGATGCCCCTCTGACCAGAATGGCCGATGCCCCCACGGTCAGGGCTCTTGCAAGTTGCACAAGGGACAGTCCCTAGAGCCCAGGCTCATGGCCAGATCTCCGGGAGGGGAAGCGAGGCTGGGACAGGGATACAGTTAAGGTCCCTCCTCCCGGAGCAGGGTCCTGCCTCCCATAGGGGGTCACAGCTGGGCTTGGGGGCTGGGGGTGAGGAGGACGGCGGATCAAGAATGCAGACATTGTCTAACGAGCCCCCCGCACCCCCCCCCCCC